ACAGCCAGGTATTCTCCATCCACAAAGGAATTCCTATGCCTTCATTCCAGGCTCTGTCTACACACAGATGTATAATTAGTAGTTTAGGACTGAGCACTTTGGTGATAAATATCAATGAGAATTAGAGATTTAAACATCCTTGAGCATCCGAACATGATCTCCTTGGCGAGAGCAGTACAGTCTTGTCAGAGGGCTGATTTAGGACTGCCTCAAATCAGCATAACTTATGGAGACATTTTACCAGCTTAAGCTGCGCCAGAACAAGCACAATGCCAGCTGCACATTTTACTTGAGCTACATTTCGCTTTTAATCTGCTTTATGTCTGAAATTTCAATCCCCTCAGCCCCACTCTGAACCCTGACAGCCTGCCCATGTCTCTCACCCTTGCAGCCTCCCTCAGCCAGCGAGCAGCCAGCCACAGCCTTGGTAGTTGTGCTGCTTTTTTTCCCCAGCAGCTTTTCCCTTCCTTTGCTGCTTCTGTCTAGGGAGATGACACCTAAGCATCAGCTGCAACCAGTTCCTCTTTGAACCAAAACACACAAAACCATTATTCTTAAGTAATATTTTGACAAAAACGTCTCAGCATTGCCTAAAAAAAAAGTGTATGTGCTAGCTTCTGAAAATGGGACAAGAATTCATCTAGTTCAGCCCAATGACTGGAAAATGGAAAGCATGCTGTGTCTTGAGGTAGTATTCAGATCAGTGCAAGTTACTCCTCAGTGGTCACACAGGACTTTGAGCACACATATAGATCAGGATATTCCTTGAAAATATAAACTGCTTACACTAGCGTGAATGCGTTTATTTTGTGCTCTGCTGAACATGTTTACAGTGTATTTTATTTATGTCCCTCCTTTCCCCCTCCTCCTTTAGTGGTGAACAGATTTGAAACATCCAAGAAAATTAAAGCATCAGTCAGCCCGTATAGCACTGGTAAGCTGAACACCAAAAGAAATGATCAGATAAAATACCACAGTATTGTTGCAGAAAGGTATCCAAACCACCTGCTTCTCCATGGGGGAGCTGGTGTGCAAGGACTCAGGGCATAAGCGTTTGTACTCTAAGCACGTATTAAGAAAAACATCTTTGCAGGAAGCGGTTTTGTCCACTTGCCTTACCCAGGTGGCTGGCACAGTAATCAGTGTACGAGATCTTTCTCACTAGCAGCTTTGTGACAGTCTGATGCCATGTACCAGGGCAATTAATCCCACAGTTCATTGGAAAGATGGGGTCATACTGCGAGTTTCCAAGCCCCAAACAGCAGTGTTTAGAATTAGATTGTTGTCAGGGTTACCTGGATACAAGCTTGAAATTTGCCTGCCACATATACTGTGCACAACATTTTGTTGCAATTTTTTTATTTTTTTTTTTTTTCCAGTTTAACAGTGCTGTAGACAAACTCACTTGGGCAGACAAGACAGAACCCAACTGTGGATGTAAGCACAGACAACTATTGATCATAATATACCCATGTAATTTAGAAAGGTTTTTGCCCAGCTCTCGTTACGATTAATTTTTTCCAACACAGGAAATGTTATTTTGCAAAGATAAATTCCACATCCTAAGGATAACATCTGCTCTCCTTGACCAGCCTATTTGCATGGCAACCATATCAAAGACAACAAGGCCACCCACACTCAATGAAGTCATCTCCACTCTCCACTCTTCTGTCTTGTTAATGGAAAATTAATATACATTAAGAATAAAATACTGCCACAAAGACTCATCTTACATTTTTCATGGTAAGTTCTGACATGCAATACATATACTCAGGGAAAATAGATGCATAAACACAGACGGATGACAAAAAGAACAATCAGGTACCTCCCAGACAAAGTTCTATTTATTCTGTTCAAAGATTTAATCCCTCAGATTTAGGGGGAAGCCCTTGGGTGACACAAGTCAGGTGTGACAGCTTTGAAGTCCTCCCTCTATAAATAAAACTTTCTGGCTAGGGCTCACTTTTCCTTCCGCTTGAAGGAAGGGACTAGAGAATTTGCTGCCCGTAAAGCTGGACTCTGTCAGTCACTGCCAAACACATTAATCCTGACGTGTTTAGCATTAAAGTCAGACAGCAACAACCGTTTTAATGAGATCAAAGAAAAGAGTGGACTTACCAGCACACTTCCACCAGCCTTCGGCTGTCTAGCCAGGCTCACACCCATCCATTCATCATCTCTGTCTTCTTTGCAGGTCTTCCCACAGAGCATGCCCCGAGAATTGCCTAAGAAAGACAAGAAAGGCAGCAAGGCAAGGAGACATGAGTTTTAAATACCCACTAAAGAATCCCTACATGAAAACAGACAACCCATCAAACATCTGCCTGACAGTGCTTTTCTTTTCCCTTTCATCCTGATTATTAGTTCTTGTATGCAATAATCAGGGCGATGCTCTCACTCTCACTAGGCATCATAGAAATACATAGTAGAGGACAGACCTGTCCCAAAGAGCCAGCAGATATTACAGTATGTCCACAGCTCTACTTCAATAAACCATCCCACTGAAGTCAATGGGAGAGAGGTGAGATTTGCCCGCACAACTCAATCAAAGCAAAAATTACTCTTGAAAATGAGATCTGGGGCACTAAAAAAAAAAATACATTGAAGCCTAAATCTCTAGTCATGTCAAGCAGTATTCACGAATCCATGAGAGATAGTTTACATTACAGTAGCAGTACAAATCAAACTTTGAAAAACCACTCTTTTAACACTTGCAAGCTTCGTTAAAATAAATTCTACTTGACTCAGTCATGAAAAGATGAACAATACTAGTATGCCTCTTTTTATTGGCAGAGGAAGCAGTAACATGTATGTCACCAAGCCAAAACATTAAAAGGCTTCAATTTGCTTTATCAGAAAATCCAGCACGAGATTTTTAGATCAAAGCCTTGCTTTAGGATGCCACTGTCCCCTGCCACCATCAGACAGTATATCAGAGAAACCAAACTTGACCCTGATCATGTGCAATAGTGTACAAGCACAGCTTTGAGATACTTATTTCCTTTCACACAAGAAGCAAACCCAAGGAATGATCTGTCACATTACAAGGGAACCCACAGATCGCCACACTGCTAATAATGATACACATCATGGGCCCGCCACAGCACCAAGTGGGCCATCCCATGCACCTTTCTTTCAGCACCACCTGGAGTAGGCAGCAGTGCTCCCAACAACTGACATATCCACCAACATGCTGCAAAGTCACACTGAATCTGGTGGAGAAAAGACAGCAGGGTATGCAGGGAAAAACCCACCTTTGCTTGGGTACTCGCTGGAGAGAGCGAGCAGGGCCACGGGGAGGATACCAGCACCATTTGGTGGGATGCCATTTCATAGTGCTGAAGAGAATAAAACACCTTGGCTACCAGTGCTCAAAATCCAACAGGAGAGGCTGATGAATCCCTCTCAGTGTCTTGGGGCTTCTTTGAAGCTGTCAGGAGGATTACTAGCCATTTGGGGTATGGGGCGCTTTTTTTTGGGTTCCTGTACTTATCACCCCCTCAAGCATCCTAACAACCTACCTCGACCCATATCCAGTTCTGTGCATCTTCTGTCAGGATTGGTATGGACTCGGCATTTAAAAACTGCTCCTGGGGACTGAACAGAGGTGCTGTATTTAGATTCTGCCTTGGGAGCACCAACCAAGACCCTGGAAACCAAAAGCAAAGTAACAAGTGATTAATTTCAGGAGAAAATAAAGAAAAAAAACAACAAACCAACAAACCAACAGCAAGGTTCACATCGCCAGAGCTCCCTCAGCAAAAGGACTTTCTTTGGCAGCCTTATAAAATAGTGACATTGACTCAAAAACTGAAAACACCACACACAATAAAGTCATTTTTCCCCAGTGAAGCCACAAATACTTGAACAAGTCAAACTTCCACTAGGACTGTAACACATTTAAAGCAGCACCCCATCCCCACCCCTACCCCAAAAGCATTTAGTAAAGTATTAGGACAGACAACAGCAGCTGCACCCATTTTTCCTGATTTAACTACATCCCTATCAATCCAAGAACCCATAAGAGCTAATGCACACACCCACGAGAGGATGAAATCTGAACTTGAACGCTTGCGAGCCAGCCAAAGATTAATAAGCTTGTTTAGAAAGTTGAGACACCCCATTCTCAGAACACTTAATGTAACTACAGCTTTAAAAAAACAGCGACAAAAACAGCCAACCAGCCACACAGGAGCAAATCTCTTCCACCGCAAAGCGTTGCTATTGACCAATGTTTATCACTAAGGCTGTGAAGACTATACCTGGGCTATTTATCCCACATGATTGCTCATGCCTCTGGGAAGCACCAATGCACAAGCTCTGACCATAGGGTTCCTTAACATACCCTTGAAAGATGATAAGCACTTTTTAATCATTGTGTTACAATCCAGTTAACTCTTTAACAAGCTGGCAGCTGCTCGTGCCCTAGGAGATGCTTTTTGCAAAGGACTACAAGGGAAGCACAAATATCACAGGAACCCTTTATCACCTCCTCATTGAAGGGACAGTCTTTCTCACCTGGTTGTGAGCCCAGATCTGGGCACAAGAAGGTGAGGAGGGAGATCAAGAAGGAGGAAGACAGCTCCAGGGAGGGTGGTGGGGAGCACCAGGTAGTTTAGTATCACCTCTGTTGATACCCTTGCACTGTGAGGCAGGGCAGAGCTTCTGCATGTAACAAAGTCCCCACTGAAGTTAAGCCCAGGGCTGGAACTAAGGACAAGCATCCCTAAAAGGCTGAGCCTCCAGCACTCACATGTGTGGATTGAGCCTGTTACTTGGGAGGCAGCAGCTTACCAATGAGTCACTATTCTTGGTTTACCCACTAAAGGGATAAAGTGCTACTAGTACAAAGTCAGTCCGCATACACAGCCCACCCACAGCACAGATGGACAGCCCAGCACAATGGAAGGTTCCCCTATTTTAAACAACTTCTCTTCCATCTTCTAGAGTTCCATCCCCAATCATCACCATTGCAGTAAACACAGGGAGACCCAAGGCACAAGGCACACGTGTGTCCAGGCTCTGCCTGAGCCACCTGGAAGAGCTGCTCCTGCATCAGTCTGGTCTGTATCAAACAGCAGCACGTCACTGCTCCTGCTGCTTCCCTGGATGTGACAAAACCACCCCATCGCATTTGGAAATATGTTTACAAAATGATGAAAATCCCCTACATTAAGCAACTGTTTCCTCCCAAGTTTCACGAGCTGTATCATTTGGAAAAGTTTGATGGGGCTGCACTTTACAACACACATCATGTTTTCACAAGTGAGAAGAATTAATATTCAAAATATTTCAGTTGCGAAAACCTACAAAGTCTGCACACACTGGGGAGAGAGCGTAAAGGAACCTGAAATAATAGCTCCAAATGGAAATCCCACCAGGCAGGCAGCAGGCAGAAAAGCAACTGCCAATCGTTTCATTTACACAGACGATGAATGCGTGTCATTCACTTATTGACATTCATGAGGTCTAACAAAAATAAATAAGGGGGTATATTACTAGCTTAAAGAGTTACGGGTTCAAGTTGCAAATGGCAAGAAACTGTTTCTATGACCTGTTACAACAATAAGATAACATAGGCCACATAGATCTCCAGTTTAAAAGACACTTTGCTCTAACCTAAGAAAAGTAAACACAATTCAGCAAAAAGTGCACAAGGTACTTTGGGTTCCAGAATGCAAGATGGAGATAAAGGGCCTAAATCACAATGACTCTTCAGCTCTCTTTAAAAAGCTGAATGGTAAAAAAATGATAATTAATGATCTGAGTAGTCTACTGACACAGATAATATTGCTGTCTTGAGCAAATACATCTTTCAAAAAGAAAAAGTCTGTTGCCGTTTCTTCATGTGGACTGAGCAGAAGGAAGCAGGCAGTAAAGGCAACTGGTGACACGTGCCAAAAGCAAATCTATTTTGGATTGTTCTAAATGTCCATACATTCAGATTTGATATTTCACCTACAACACACACTATGTCATCTTAGGATCTTGTCTCATTCTGTCACTCTTGCATCTGGACCCCAGCAGGTGAAACCTGTGCAGATCTCCTGTTCTGTCTGGCATGACCCATGCTCACCCATGCCTCAAGACAGCTGCCTTTAGGGACACAGGAGGTTTTCTGCTCGTTCACATGTTTTTCAGTTGGTCAAGTTCATATTTGTCACATACCACCTCAGTTTTATTCAAAGGCTTGAGACTGGAATAGTTCCTTTGTCAAGAAAAATGTCCTTTACTTTCTCATTAGTTTCTCTATGTAAGAGCTTAACCGTTGGAAGAAAGACACGTATTTTACTGTCATGAGACTTTTCAGCAGACCTGGATAGAAGACTCATTTACATCCAGGTATTTTGGGACTCAGCGAGCAAAACAAACACCTGTTTTGTATCTCCCCTACATATTAAAACACCTTTGAAATACTTTGCAGTTTCTATGAAACAACGCTGCAACCAGAGAAGGTGTTTTTCTCTAGTACCGTATCGAAACAGAAATACATTTCAAAACAAAGCCTCAGTGTCCAATACAGTCTTCTTGCATTTCAGCGCTGTGGAGTCTTGCCTGGCATAAGCACAGAAGATACTTAAACAGTCAGCAGCATTACAACCCTGTCCTCTTGCTATTATCAGGCAACCTTCCAACATATTCCAACTAGCTTAACCAGCTCTCATTTAGAATAGCCTAATTTTGTGGTACAGTTTTCCAGCACTGCTACAGGACTATCTGGGTTCTTGGCAAGAAAGCAGCAGCCGTTCTCCAGCCTTTTGCCAAAAGGCTTATGATGTGGCCAGTACTCTGTAGAGAGCATTGATGAGTGCAGGTTCTCACCACAACAGTAACACAAGGAAGCCCCTAGGATATTTGTGAGTAGCTACAAGAAAACACCTTGAAGGAGAAACCCCATCAGGAGAACGAGATTACTTTCTGTGGAGGAGAACAAGGGGCAGTAGGAGAGGGGGTCACTTTAGGGTCACTTTTGTTTGACGCACACAGAAATCTGTAAGAACTGGCCACATCCCACTGGGTCTGTGAATGAAGTACTGGGGTCTAAACCAACATGAGGAGCAGTAAGCAGAGAGGCCGTTTAACCTTCTCTTCTTGCATTCATACCCGCACGATCAAGGACAAACACCCTCATCTGTATGGAGACACTATGCAGCCGTAGGCAGAAACCACCACACAGCAGGAGCCAATATTAATGGATGACAAGAAGCTTTCTTGGCCACAGGGAAATCCACACCTCCTTAAAATTACTTCCTGCAAAGCAGTAACTATCACTTCGCTGGTGATTGACCCTCGGGACATAGATATTTGGAAATTAAGTGCTGCATTTAGCAGAAGAAACAGTGAGCAAAAGTGTCAAGCTGACCGATGGCATGGAGAGATGCCAAGCACATGAAGCAGCAGCCTCTGGCTTGCCAGCAGCAATTAGGCAATCACAGCTCAAGGACTGGGGAGCGTAGGTACCTCACCTCACTGCAATGTTAAGTGGCAGAGAAAAAAGTCTTTAAATATCCTCACATACCACAGCTGATTTCAAAAGCAGCACCAGAGGAGGGTGCACCACCAGCACATCCCAGCTGAGTTAGTTCTCATCAGAATGGTCTCTGCCACTTGCTAAGCCCTCGAAATAAAACCAAACAGTGGTTCATCCATTATGCGCAGAGCGAGAAGCAGGAGGGCTGTTATTCGGGTGGTAGACGGATGACCCGTGACCAACAACAGCAAGCCCAGGCTCCTGAAAACATCACGGCAGCACCTACAGCATCACTACGTCCTTTATGCAACACAACATCGTTAACACAACAGGCAGCCTCCGCCGGGCCGGTGTGCTTCTGCATCCTCCTTCTGGTGGCACACAAGAACATCACACACTAACAATGTGTATCCATCAGCCTGCGAGGCAAACAGTCTTCACGTTTCAGGGGCAGCACAATCCAGTGAAGAGCAGGGCCGAAGGAATGAAGTAACAGCACAGAAACCAGACTCATTCCTTATTGTAAAACTCACAGCAGGACACCATGAGACTACACTGACTCCACGCTACTTTTTTGTGCCAGATAGTGTTGCCAGAAAGGATAAAGTTGTTACCCTGGACTTGCTGAGGGATTTGGGGGTGTCAGCAAGGAGGCATAGGGAGGGGAAAGGAGAGGGATAAAGTAACATCTTTTTTTAAAAAAAAAAAAACAAACAAACAAAAAAAACCCACACAATTGGACATGCCACATTATTAACATTTTTTTATTGGGGCAAAACTGACATTTGTTTCTTCTTAAACTGTCTGAAGGAAAGCAGAGAAAGCAGAGAAAGCAACATTCTTGGTCGCTTTGTAGGGTCTTTACTCCAAACTTCAAAATTATATCCAGAGAACAGAAGCACTTCAGCTTGTCTCTGCTCCAAATGCAAGCAGCCACCTGGTTCCTTACTCGACTGAAAATGGCAATGATGGGGAACCGGGTAAATCTTTCAAGATTTACAGTCATAAAACCCGCTTAAGGAAGGAAAAGAAGACATTGTCAGAAATACAATAACTCCAGCACATCTATGATTACAAACTTGTCTTGAGTCTAAAACTGTGCAAAACCAACTCCAAAACGGAAGCATTGTTGTAATTAACTATTTCAGACAGGTCAAAGGCACTGACTTACT